AGGTTGAATTTTAATTAACATTTCCCCAATCACAGGGAAACCTGACAGGGCCTAATATGCATAAATAATATATGGTCCTTTTGTCCTTTCTGTTTGACCTTAGTTTTCTGCAAGCGATCCTCATTATCAGGTTAACCTCCTTCTGGAAACAAAAAGTCTCCGCGTGAAGGGCACATCTTTAAAGAGAGATCTTTGAGACGCACAGCAGGTGCCAGATATGTGCAAGAAAAAAAAAAGGCAGAGAGCCTCTATTCAGATTAATGGATGAGAAAGCCTATGTTTAGACAGCAGGGAGCAGCAGGATCCTGAGTCACAGGAAGGGGAACAATTTACTAACACCTGTGAATACACATAGTGACATATTGTGACGCTTGCCAGTTTAGATTTGCCCACATCTTCACTATATCATGAATGAAAAAAAGAATTCTGTTGTTTCCACTGGAAAAAAAAATGAAACACACCTTTAGTTATAATTTTCATTTATTTGTTTATATTTAGTTATTTAACTATACAGAATTAAAGTAACACTATATGCACCCAGACTCATTGAAGATGTCTGGTTGCAGTGTCCCTGTCCCTCCACACTCCAGACCCCAATACCACTTAGCTTGCTGAAAATCTTTATATATGAAGAGTGTGTCCTTTTTTCATTTTGCAAAAAGTGCAGATTTCAATAGATTAATTTTATAAATTAAAGGAACACTATAGGGTCAGAAACATAAGCATATATTCCTGACACTATAATGTTAAACCCACCATTTAGGTGGCTTGCCCCCCCCACTAATCCCCTTAGAAATCTCAACTTATTTCCAGCACTGCATGGCTCCACCGGTGCTGGCTCCACCCACGATCTGCCTCCTTGAAATAATCATCAGAATTGCTGATTTTTAGCCAATCCAATGCTTTCCCTATGGAAAAGCATTGGATGGGCTAGAATCAGCAAAAAGGTGCAATGTGGGCAGGGCCAAACACCATTTTGGCCAATCAGCACCTCCTCATAGAGATGCATTGAATCAATCTATGAGGAAAATTTGGCGTCCCCACGCTGAAAGGCAGTGCTGCCTACTGTGCAGCACTGCCCCAGGAACACCTCCAGTGGCCTTTTGAGGAATGGCCACTTGGAGGTGTCCTTAGGGGGGAAATACTTGCATATAATGATTATACTCAGCAGAACAACTACATTAAGCTGTAGTTGTTCTGGTGACTATAGTGTTCCATTTACCTAGTAGGTCCTGTTACTTCCTAGTTTCACTTAAAACACAGGCTATTGCTGAGATCTTGTGTAAAATGAATTGGCCTCAGCAACTCCCTGTAACAGACCGCCTGGCACCCTGACTGGGTACCTCCGTTACTGGATGCTCCTAGAGCTTCCAGAGGGCTCCAAGCACTCCGCCGGACCCCACAACCACCGCAGATCCCACAAACTGCCATAGCTTGGTTGGGGTCTCGCTGTCTCCTACCCACCCTGGACCTACAACAAGGCTCCAGGCTCCAGTGGGTGAACCTCTCCTCCAAGAGAGTGAAGCAGGAACAAGCTCTTAAAAGAGCTTAGAAGTGATTATTCAAGGGAGCATGCAGAGCATAGCAATCCCTTGTAGTGATATAGCCGGTTACCCCCAACAAGAGACAAGACTCTAGATTGAGGGTGAAGAAGAACTGACTCCAATGAGCATTTATTCCTGCTTATATACAACTTTCCCAGCAAGGTTACCACCCACGTGGACCTTGTGGGGCACTGGAATTATAAATTTAACAACCAATAAAATAAAAGCACATGGTTAATCACACCCACTTTTTACAACAAGAATCCCCCCCTCTGCTTGGGAGATAATTGAGTTAATTACTGTATCAACTCAATTATCTCCAAGCTAAAAAAAACATACTTTTATGCCATTTTTGTAACTTTGTGAGTTTACATGCAATATTAATAAAACAATATTATTAATATATTTTTATAACTAGCATAATTTGGGGACAAACATATTCAAAATTCACTTGAATCGGTTAAGTGGTTCAGGAGATAGGTGGAAGTCATATTTTGACAGAGGAGGGACAAAACAGCCAGTTCCAACTGGTTTGGCAGTGTCCCTGGGACAACACCCTGCTGGAGAACAATGGGACAGGGGGAGGGGAAGAGGCACACCTTCCCATGGATTCAAAGGGGCAGAAAAAGTGTCCCAAAAGTTTCAATATGTCCATACACTGTTTTTAAAGGGCCATCACTAGTCCAAATAAAAGTCCATGAGACCAAGTAATGGTTTTAAAGGGCACCCCAGGGCCATAGTCATGTGGCAAGAGGCTGGAAAGCAAGCTTCTCCATAAGCCAGGGGAGCAGAGCAGTTTGGCACATAGAAAGCCAGTGGCAAATGGCAGTTTGTCACACTCCCCATTTATACATGTTCAGGTGAGTTCAGCCCCCTGGTTTCATATATATATTTGGGAGTCTGGCCAACTCCTTGGTTTTGCAGCCCACCCTGTCCCAGGTGCCTCATTCCAGGGCCCTATTTAACCTTGTACTGCAGAGAGCCCCAAATGGATCTTTTCCGCAAATAAGTGGGTTAATCTCCTAAGAGCAGGCATTGGCTGTTAGAGTAGGACCTGCCAAAGATGGGGTACATTGACATTGTGGCAGGCTTATGCAATGTATAACGATATTCTGTAACTAAACCCCAATTATTTTTGCCTTTAAAAAAATAATAAATAAATTAATCTGTGAGCTTTGAAGTTGTTTTTTAGTGGATTAGCGAGTGTGCTGAATCTTGTGTATCGCCTGTCTTGCAAAGGCTTCTCATTGTACCAGACAGCCACTAGAGGTGCTTCCTGCAGTTTAACTCTGTGAAACGACACTGGACATCCTCACGCTTTACATGAGGATGTCCAGGGTCTTGAAAACCCCCATAGGAAGCACTGAGTCAATGCTTTCCTATTGGGAAGGCTTAATGCGCGTACAGTGCTTGCTCCACATGTGCACTAGGTTCCCGGATTGCGCTGATGTCAGAGGAGGAGGAGCCCAACTCAGCACTGAAAGACGTAGGCGCTGGTATCAGATAAGTGAATAAAAATAATTTAAACCCTTTCATGGGTGGGTTGGGGAGGCAGAGGGACTGCAGTTTTGTATTCCTAACACTATATTTTAACAAATATTTTAACACTATATTTTAACAAAACAGAAATACAAAACAAAAACAAAAAAAATACAAATATAAAAAAATGCAAGCAAATGCAGACTTCATCAGATTCTCAAGAAAACAAGTACATACTTTAAGTTAAGATGCTTAAAGCATAGCCTTAGGGATTGGGGAGGAATGTCTGTTTGTATACATTTTTATATTTAGTAGCTAAATTAATATGGTATAGTGTCACCTTTCAAAAAAAGACCTAAAACTACTATTAAAGAAACAGTATATACTGTAGTTGCAATCACCACTGGTAATAATGCACTATTCAACTTTGCTTCTTAAACTATATAAAAGTCTTCGTGGTAATGAATATGACAGGATGTCTTCTTTAGTTCTTCATTATTTTTATATGGTAGACTTCTTGTTAATTAATTGCAACTGGAATAGTGAATTGCATATTTTTAACAACTAATGAATATTTAATATGTATTTGCACATTAAATTGGAATATTCTTCAACGGTGAATAGTGCTAATGGGATATAGATTATCTGTGAATGGTATAAAAAAAATTTTTTAAAAGCCAGGAGCCTAAAGTCCAACTGAGGGAAATTGAAGTGCTCGATTTCAAATAAACTCTACTGTTTCACGCACATTGCCTTGGCATTCACTTTGACTCTGACCTTTCATTCACCCTCTATATAAACTTTATCACCAAATCCTGTCTCATTCACCTTAAAAATATTTTGGCGTTTCCCCCTTTCTCACTTAGGACGCGAGCAAAATGCTTGCCCATGCTCGTGTTATTTCCCACCTTGAATATTGTAACCCTCTTATTGGCATGAGTAGTGTCCAAATTGCCCCTCTACTGTCCATAATAATTGTCTCTGCTACACTCATCTACGTACATCCCACAACTCTCACCTTTTAGCTATTCATCAACCTTCCTCTGCTGTCTTCCATCTGCTGTGCTTCCTCCCTAAATTGCCCTTCCCATCCTCCCAGCTGTCCTGAGCTAAAATGTTGATATATTTTAGCGTGATGTATTAATAAAAGTTCAGTTTTATTAAAGTGGTATGTGAAGTCCTTGGAGTGTGCCCTACCTCCTGTTTGCTGTTTATTTTTGCTGGACCTGCACCGGACATCCTCTTTCCTTCCCTGCAGTGCAAGCCACCTAGTATCTATCTATCTATCTATCTATCTATCTATCTGTCTGTCTATCTTTTTATTATTATTATTCTGATTGCTTTATTTTAATATTTTTCTTTCAGTGCTTGACTCTATCTTACCTTGGAGGGGTAATTCTTCCTATTTTCAAAAACATATACTTCAAAAATTCATTTTAGGAATGGTCTGTGTTACATGTATACATCTCAAATTGCAGACATTTATATCGCCGTCTATTTTATTTTGCTGTTGGAAAACAAAGCCTTTATTTCATTCATAGAACAAGATATCTGTAAAATGAATGAGCTTTATGAATTGGTGTTCTGGTGAGCTGCGTCTAGTCTATGTCACAAGAATATATGAAAGATCAATACTTTGTTAAAAGGCTCGTGAAACAATAAAGAAAGAAAATTGTGATTGACTTTGGGAACTCAAATAGTCATTCAGATTCTTCTGTCCCAAGTAATAAAGTTGGGATAAACTAAAGAGCTACTTTGAAATTTATAACAAAGAGATGTTAAAACTTTAGAACTCCAGATAAGCTAGACTACATTTTCTGTAATATTAAAATTATATTAAAATGTTATCGTGTTGATAAGTATGTTGATGCTTAACTAATTAATTATGCTAATAGTGATGTCCCGAACTGTTCGCCGAACGGTTCACCACGGACGGCGAACATATGCGGTAAACTTTGACCCTGTACCTCACAGTCAGCAGACACATTCCAGCCAATCAGCAGCAGACCCTCCCTCCCAGACCCTCCCACCTCCTGGACAGCATCCATTTTACATTCATTGTGAAGCTGCATTCTTAGTGAGCTGTCCAGGAGGTGGGAGGGTCTGAGAGGGAGTGTCTGCTGCTGATTGGCTGGAATGTGTCTGCTGACTGTGGCTTGCTAATAATTAATTAGAAAGATTTGTTAAAGGACCACTCTAGGCACCCAGACCACTTCAGCTTAATGAAGTGGTCTGGGTGCCAGGTCCTTCTAGGGTTAACCCATTTTTTCATAATTATAGCAGTTTCAGAGAAACTGCTATAATTATGAATGGGTTAAGCCTTCCCCCTAATCCTCTAGTGGCTGTCTCATTGACAGCCACTAGAGGCGCTTGCGTGCTTCTCACTGTGATTTTCACGGTGAGAGCGCGCCAGCGTCCATAGGAAAGCATTGTAAATGCTTTCCTATGAGAAACTGAATCTTGCGCGCAGCTTGCGCGCGTGCGCATTCAGCGACGGAGGCGGAGGAGAGGAGGAGGAGAGCTCTCCGCCCAGCGCTGGAAAAAGGTAAGTTTTTACCCCTTTCCCCTTCCAGAGCCGGGCGGGAGGGGGTCCCTGAGGGTGGGGGCACCCTCAGGGCACTATAGTGCCAGGAAAACGAGTATGTTTTCCTGGCACTATAGTGGTCCTTTAATAAAGTACAGAAAACCGGTGATACAGACAAGATTTTAAAAATACGGTAATATAAAAAGATCATAACTCTCAAGTAAGGGACATAATGCAATCTTGGGGTTTTAGAGACATTCATAAGCAATGTCATGAATTATTGTCATATTTCCAGAAGCCAGAGATTGAATTTTTTTTCCCCATTATACACACTTCATTGTGTGGTTTTCTATACATGTACATAGCACCAATTGCTGGATGTTCCTACCTTAAATGGACCACACCCCTAAAGCACCCTATCCAGACCTCTAAAGCACCCTATCTTTACTGCAGATTGCAATAGAAAGTAGAACATTTATAAATAAACCCTATTATATTCCTTTGACTGTCAATAAAAAAAAAAAACCTAGACTGTTGGTGGTCCAGGAGGACTGAGTTGGGGACCACTGGTTTAGATCACCTTCCTTGCAAATACTTATCTTTGAGCAGCAGTTTGTGATTGGACAGACACTGTCTGCGGTAGAACGGGCGGGTCTTGCAAAGGCTGCAGACAAGAGATCTACAGTTTTAGCAAGTAGTTTAAGATATGCCCCAGTGAAAAATTCATAATTGAATACATGCATGCTTTTATGAGGTTTATATCTACTAAATAGTGTTGTTTCCATTGTATTCGGGCAATGGAGTTTCCCTTTAAACTAATAAGGACACACCACATGCCAGCAGAGATATCAACATCTGGCAGAAGAAGTTATAAGGTGGTCATTGTTCGAAAGTGCGCAGGATTATACTATTCATTGCCTAAGTATTCATCATGCTCCCTGGTTTACTTAAACAGTGCATGGGTCCTTTTAGACCTAGGCAAAGATGAAGGCATGAATATTTACAGAAGGTGAGAGATAATGAAGACTCATGTGCTGCACAGTCTGAAAGACATGTAAACATATATAGAGGCTGACAGACATAAGGGGTTGAGAGATATAGGGTCAAAAGATACTATGTCTAAATGCAATTATCTATGCTAAGCGATAAAGTACTCACAGTAGATGCGTTGTGCATGTAAAGATAGTTCTAAAAAAATATTGCCAAACATTACGATCATATGATTTAATCACAATAGTCTCACCGATGAGAGATCTAATAAAGAACGATTTATAGATTCATAAGAGATGGTTCTCAGCAACACACATTTTTCTGTGCCTGCTTCGAAGTCTATATAGTATTATTATTTTTTTCTTTTTTTTGTGTCTTTCAAAGACTCCGGTTATCATAGGATAGCACGTCTGGCAAGGTGTTATGTTCACATTCTACAAGAAGTATGATCATACATTTGATTGCTGCTTTGGGAAATTACTCCAAACACAATAAATTGGGTTCACCACAAAGCCAAGGCAATAGATTGACCAGTTTGACAGAAAAGAACAGCTTTCTGCCTGAAACAGGGTGGGGGAGGGGTAAAAGGTCTTTTATTGAGAATGGGCACCTGCCAGAGATAAGTGGCAGATAAATTAACTTGGGAAGTTTTAAGAAAGCTACATTCCCCCCATAGGCTAGTTGTGGTTTTATGACTGCTATAGAAGATCTTTTGTTGGTATAAAAATGACAGCTCAGATTCTCTCAAATAGATATTGTAATTGTTGTACATGGCATTGGGAACACAAACCCAGGAGGATTTTCAAAGCAAACCGGATTGGCAATGTCTTCTTTTAAATACAGATGTGGACATTTTAATCATAGAAGTGAGAGAGCTATCTTTTGTGAATATATGTATTGTGTAGTATAAATGTCTCTGTTTGTTCAACCTCCAAATTTTATGGAGCATTTAATCAATGTGTTTACAAAACTGAAACTTTTAATAAGCAGGAGGACATAAAACAGGTCAACATGCCAGCTCGATAACTGATTCTACAATCACCGCCAAGTAGTAAATATCAATGAGTTAACACTCTGCTTATATCACAGCTCAGCACCAGAATGAGCTTGATGTAGGTGCTCATGTGACATCTCTGCCAGTCTTGCGTTCCCACTGGCAAGATCGACAAATAGCCTCACTCCATCCATTCACATTCCTTTGATGCAAAATTAATGCACACATATACTTTTACTAAGTGCAATCCTCATGCCAGCATGTTCCATACTCATCTCATTTTCTATATGTTAGCCTAATTTACTCTTGATGCTCCATTTGATGCTCTTCTACGACTACCACTTGTATCCAGTCTCTGCTTTATTTCTACATCACAATCTGCCCTCCTGGTGATGATTTTAGGGGTTCTCATTTGATCATTCATATCCAGGTCCCACCATCTCATCTTGATTTTCAACTGTAGAAGAGTAGGAGTGCAAATAAAAAACTGTTCTGGGGTTCTAAGTCCGTATTTCCCTGATGAACTATTGATAGCTTAATGTCAACTTCACGCCATTCTTATAATCAATACCTCCTCTGCCAACTTTCCCTTGTATGTGATGGCACCATCACAAAGTAGATGTCTACACCCAAACATTGACTCTAGATGAACCCAACACACTTTCTAGATAAAAAAAGAGAACACTTGTGGAGTTGTTTTACATAAGTCCTGTAAAGTGTAAACTATGCAAATTAATGAAGAAAGCAAAGTTAGCAAACATGTAGTGCTCTAGGGGGGGCAAACAGGTCGGGGGGTATTAAACTATTATACTTGTAGACTTCCTTTCATTCTTTGAGCATCAGTGGTACTAATATCTGTGATTCTCAAAGGGTTACCTGGCTTTTGGTTTTTCAATACGTACATTTATATATATAGTAATAATTTGTGAGGAAAAGGCTAAAAAAACTCACAATGCTTTAATTTAAAACTACAAGCCTCAAATTCATGTTGAACAGCGAAAATGATGGGCAAAGTCATTTAGTCAAAGCAAATTTAAACATTATTGAAAGAATGTCACTTGGATTACATAAGGTAACTGCTGTTGAGCCTCCTATTAATGTGCATTGCAGTGGAACAGAGTTCCTATCAAGTGATATTCCTGCATGGGCAAAAATAAATAATAAAATATATATATATATATATTAAAAACTACAACTCATGAAGGGACTCATGAAGTCAATAAACATAAAGAGTAGTCTGAGAAATTTCTCGGTAAATAATGAGTCTTTTTAAAACAAGCCCTCACTGAATCCTGACAGTATTGGAAATTACAGGCTTATCTCAAACCTACCTTTCCTAAGGAAAGTCATCAAGAAAGTTGTTGCAAACCAGCTGGAAACACGGTTGTCAACAAACAATATCTATAACTCATTCCACTCAGGTTTTAGGACAAGACACAGTGTACTAAAACTGCACTAGTATGGGTCCAAAATGATCTATTAATGGCAAAAGATAGAGGTGCATACTTAATATTAATTCGCTTTGACCCCTCTGCTGCATTTGATACTGTGGACCACAGAATTTTATTACACCATCTGCACAACATCTGTGGGCTGCGTAGTACAGTTCTAAGATGGTTCAAATCAATTATATCTAACAGAACCCAGAACATATCATCTGGAGTACACACCTCTACACAGACCCCCCCTTACATTCGAATTCCATCGAGTTCCATCTTATCTCCCATGTTATTTGAAATGATTATGCTTCCAGTGGGGAATATCCCGAGACATCATGTTGTCAGCTTCCACTGCTATGCTGATGACACAAAAGTATACATCTTCTTCAAACCTAACTCAAAGGTTCCTGCTAAAACCATTAATAAGTGTCTTGCTAATCTCCTGGAGTGAATTAATAGCAGTTGGCTGAAGCTAAACTCAGACAAAACATAAGTACTTGCGATGGGTAAAGATAGTTTGATAAGCAAGCTGCAAAAAGATCATCAAATCAGTCTAGAATGTGAAACTCAAATCTAGCAAAAAAAAATCTTGACAGTGTACTCTCCCTGAAACATCATATATCAGCTACATGCCAAGTTTCATTCTTCCATCTAAACACGTAGTATGGCCAGGATCAAGCACCTGATGTCTGCAGAAGATCATCTCATGATCACCCATGCTTTGGTGACATCATGTTTAGACTACTGCAACACGCTCAATTAAGGTCTACCAGAAAAATTACTTAATTGCCTTCAGCTGGTACAAAATACTGTAGTGAGACTAGTAGCTGGTGAGTAAAAGTTTTACCACGTGACACCCATCCTCCATACCTTGCACTAGCTAATAATAAAATGGCGCATATTGTTCAAAATAGACCTTCTATCCTACAAAAATCTACGTGATCAGGGACCAAGCTATCTAAAAGAATTATTGGTACTCTATGTCTCAACTCGCACTTTTTGTTCAACACATGCCCGGCAGCTAACTTTGCGATAAAAACGTGGTTTGCAACCTTTTGCCATGCCTCATTTATACAAAGACTCAATACCTACCTGTTTACAAAAGCCTTTCAGAAATACGTAACTACTAAATACATGGTTGTATACAATCGAAAGCACTTTGAGTCTACCACGGAGAAAAGCGCTATATAAATTATTA